CAAGAAAAAACAACAAAGGAATGACAATAATGGTAAATAATAAAACAAAAACGACAATAATCGCTGGCAGAATGGCTTTTGAACGTGAACTATGACGGTCTCTTTTGTGGGGTGTTTCCGTTTGCACAGATGCATCTGGAGCTTATCACCATCACCATATAAATAGGAGGATGATCACAAAAGTAGTCGCACATTGAAAATGTTGCTCATTTTGGTATTCTTCGCTTCTTTCCTTGCAAACTTCAGCGTTCAAGGTGAGTTTATCTACCTCATACACAGCCTGCCCTATTAATACGCGTTATGCTCCTTTTATTCTTCTACGGGGCCACAAGCTCAGAACTTCAGAGGTTAGCTATCTTATACGCAGCCTATCACCTTAACATGGGTTTTCGCCCCACCCAAGGTTAAAGTTTGAGGGCCTAATTTTCCAGGATTTTTTCAGGCTATATCAGGCTTCCTTTGCCGAAAGATGGGCTACTCGCACTCGAGTATCTCGGCAGAATGTACAACGACGACCTTGTAAGCTTTTTCATTCTGCTTTCTTAAATATTGTCAATTCCACCTTGAAGGTACAGTTCGCCATGAAAGATGATTTGAGATCCCCTCTTGGACGAGTCTGTCACCTCTCAAGGTGCCCCATGGCACGTTGATTTTTCGAAAAACGGCTCACGTAGGGCGAAATGAGGTCTCCAAAACAGCTTGAACCGCTGGCCACACCCCGAATAGGACGTATTCCGCGGCTTCGTGAAGTCAACCGAACTGGAGCACGTTGGAAATGCAGTCAGCTGATGATCCGTGACCCCTTCTCCAGTGGCTCTCTCTCTCTGTGGTATACCTCCGGATATGGGTGTGGGATAAGGTGCAGAGAAGAATAACAGCGTATTGGTCGTGGTAGCACAAATTCGTATTCTTCGCCTCTCAACTCTTGGTATACAGATATGGATGGACGACTTGTCGGACATGGATCCAGGACCAGAAGATGATTATGAAGAGGATGATGACCTGCGGATCCACGGAGAAGCGTTTGTGACCTTTGCAGAATTTCCTTTCAATTTTACGGAAAAAAGGAATATTTTCAGGTGCTTCCGATATACCGACCGTAGAACATGGTATGAGAAAGTGATTAGAGGCTTCAATAAGGTTTTCCATAAACATGGAAAAGAAGTGAGTTGAATTCATCTGAATTCTCAGTTTGCGCTAATCCTTAGGTGGGCGACAAGCTAACGGCTACTGATCGGTACTCACCCCAAAATGGAGTAACAGGAAACCATTAAAAGGGTTCAAGGCGTTCTTGAAATATGGGAGACGGCATGAAGTAGTGTCACTTTGAGTACTTCCCAAGAGAAACTGAAAGTCAACAAGACATTCTCCATACAGAAGGGAATCATTTTTTATTTAATCAACTGTAATCTTGAATTACTTCCCTAAACAATAGCAGTACCCTAATAGTGTAATCTGGGAATAGTTTCCTGTACAATCGCACTACTCCGCCAGATGTGAAGTGGGGTCAAGAAAAACAGTGCGACTTTGGTGGGTGATTACGCAAACGTCCCCAAGCATAGTCCTTCTTGTTGTATGGGCTTTTTTCTTCAGCCGACCTGGATTCACATCAGCCACCTATGGTAGGAGGGGAGTCAGAGATGAAACGTTGATGAGTAGTGATTACTGTAGTTTGCAGACTGTAATGGAAAGCTGAATGTGATTGTATGTCTCATTCGCGATTCGACAAATCAAGTATTTTAAGATCGAACGTCTCCCTGAACACTCAATATATGGATGCTTTGGTGTTATCGAAGGAAGAGGAACAAAGCACGATTGTGTGTCTTTCACGTGTATCTATATGAAACAGTGATAGTAAAGCTACACACACCTTTGTTCGAGTTTTCAATGAAGAGTTCACCGATAAAGGAGCTTCTGAGAATATCAGACAAAAGGGTGCTTCTCGCTTATTAACTTCCCCTTCATGTGGTCTAACTCAGTTTTGCAGCGTGATCCGGGAAGTACGCTTTTGCTAGCCCTGCTTGGCTTGGACCATACCTTCAACTAAGTCCTTGAGCATTTCGGGGTTAGCATTGTAGAAGGGAATCGGACCCCGATTTGTAGATCGGCTGGTTTGAAGTTAGAATGCGGTTCAAAAGTAAAGTAGCATAGTTTGATGTTATTTTGAAGTTTGAAGTCATTTTGAAGAGGATTCCATCAATCCCCAATCCTAAGAGCTTCCTTCCAACGATGTCAACTCACCTCTCTTCAACCATTATCGTTCGTTTAGGATCGATATTCCGTCGTCTTCTTATGTAGTTAGAAGCACCAGTGAAGTAAGAAAAGAGCCTTTCACGGTATCTTACCTGCGTCAGATATAACTTCGCAAAAATCGTTACCTCAGCAGTGAGGATCGCTGCGAGGTAGACTGAACGTTTTTTTAACACTTGCAACACTGAAGTTCCAATTCCCCAACAACTTTTCCCTTTCCCTTTCCTTGATTTAATGAATCCTTCCTGATCGACGGAATCATCGCCTGATTGTCGTGCTGTAACCAAGCAGTCCACTATATTTTGAAAAATTTGATACCTGTCTTCACTAGCTACTTGCAGTGCGCTGGAGCAACGACGGCCGTTCAGAAAGCAGTGAGGCACCAATGCTGTCAAGTTGGGTGAGCCAATTTGTGTCCAATTGTAATTACTTCACACCTTCCTCGCCCATCCACTCACTCGCCTGTGGAGAGACCTCCTTTAATTGGATGGCTGGTGACCTCTCTATCAGACAACTAGCCTCACGTCTAACAATATCGATTGTGTGAGTGAGAAACTTCGTTACATTGAAAGCATGAGATATAAAATAGAGCAAAATAAATATTAAACGCATAAATAATAAAACAAAGGAAGGTGTGGAGGCTAAAATAACCATTGGAAATATCACAAGAAAGGGAAAAAATTCACAGCGTTGTGTAAGCATTCAGCATTCATTCTCACTAGACGCCTACAGGCGAACTAGTTAACAGAGGACCTTTCTCACCTTTTTTAACACTTTGTAACACTTTTTTGAACACCGCCAGTAGGTCATTCGAAGGTATTATATTTAAACATGTGGATGAAAGCAT